ATTGCTGCTTCAGCCTATAATGTAAATGGTAATTTAGTAGATGTTAGATATGCTCTTACACCTCTAAATATAGTTTTATGAGTTTGTTCTACTATTCTGTTCTGTTACAGAGTATAATGTACTGTTAATCTTTGTTTTGTTCCTTGTGAATCTAAATATTGTTGGAAATCTTTACTAAGGAATACAGTATTGTTATCACTTTGTAAAAGCTTTATTTTAACTCTGTACTGTGTAAATATTTTAGTTGTCCATTGTATGTATTGTGTATATGTATTGGATTTTGTTTGTAATTTGAGCATTATACACTAACAAGTAGAATTGTCTACAATTGTTAATAAGTAGTGTATGTTCTTATATGTGTGTAGTTCAATAGGACCAATGATATCAATATGAATAAGATCTCTAAATTGATTTGTAAGAGGAGATTGATGTAGCTTTAGTATTGGTGTATGTTTGATATTTGCTTTTATACATTCAATACATTCTTTTTCTTTGTAGTTCATTATTTTAGTTGATAGTACACTTGGTTGTGTCTTTAATAATTGTTTAATATAATTGTAACTTATATGTCTGAGGCATTTATGTATATTATAAATAGATAGTTTGTTCATTGTTTTTAACAAATGATTATTGTACAAAATATACAAGTTATTTCTTAATTGTATATGTCTGATGTATTTGTTACATGGTGATGTTATAGTACAATTATTGTTTGTAAACATAAAAGAATAACCTTCCCTACATAGTAGTGCTTGACTTATGAGGGAAAAGTTCATTTGTGGATAGTAATAAACATTTTGTAATGTTATGACACTTCTTTCTTGTATATTCTTTGGGATTTTGATACACATAGATCCAGCTCAATTAAGAGTCATTATTAATCTATTTGCAATAGTTACAACTGTAGGAGTTATGTTGTGTACATTTGTTAATTGAAATAGATAAGGAGTAGTATGTATTGATACACTAGAATTGAGTAAATCCATTGTTTGCATATAGGATTTCTTGTTAGCTATGATTGTATTTGTAAATACATTAGTACATACCCAGGAAGTGTATTGTTCAAATTGTTTGTCCTGGTTGCTTAGAATAAGAGCATAGGCATTATTGTTCATTTCAACATTGCCTTCCTTTAATTCAACATTGTTTTTGTTTGGGTTTTCAATAATAAATGTGTTTGTTGTGTTTTCCACAGTTTGGTTTGTTTTATACACAATGTTAGCTTGATGTTTGGTGCAGGCAAGCTTTGTAGCTTCAGTATAAGGTTTGCAGCATTCTTTAGAGAAATGTCCTGTTTTTCCACAATTGAAACATTTTGCTTTTGTTGGATTGAACAGATTTGTTGGATTGAATTTCCTCCACTTATTGGCTTTATACATTGTATTAGTGTGTACATTATTCTTTGTCCAATCATTAGAATCTTATACTTGTTTAGCACAGTAATCATTGTAGGCATTCTGTAATGTAAGGATTAGTTGTTTTGGTTTGACTTTCTTATGTTCATTGACTGGTTTGCCTTTGTTTTGAGTATCAGTAGATTGTATTATTGTATTTACTATGTGTGTATATTGCTCAGGAGTAGCAAGCAATATTGCTACTTTGTATGTAGAGTCATATGGTGGATTACTGTTAGCAGACAGAGTTGTGTATGCTTTGTCAAGTCTGTCTAATGTATGTCTGAAATGTTTTACATGGTCTCTACAAATAAACAGTGCTGATTCATTAATGGCCTTTTTATGTACTGTCTGAGAGTTAAAGCATTCTTCAAGCACTTTCATTAACTGAGGGATAGATGTATTGAAGTGCATATAGTTTGCCAATATTGTGTCAGCAATGTTATTAACTATACATGTATGAATGGCCTTAACCATCTCCCTCTTGGCTTTGTTCTGTGGTTCATCCTTTAGTAAGTGTTTAAAGCATGTAGCTGTAACACTAGAAACAATGCAGTAGTGCCACATCTTGTAGTTCACTTCAGTCTTAAGCATTGTAATGTTTTGACCAAAGTATTTAGGTACATCAGCTGGTTTACAGTGTGTATCTGTATGTGGAGGAACCATGATGCAAATGTGTGCAAATGTATGTGAGTAAAGGGTTTAGAGTGTACAGTGGATGTGTGTATGTAGGGAGCACAAGGCTCATAACCTGTTGAGAGGGAAAACTTAAGGGGGGCATGCATAGACAAGGGGTGAGGTGACGATTGACTGCTCAGTGTCTCTCGTCCTTATATTGTATGTATTCTAACTGAGACATTATGAAGTCATCGTCTCATGGTTCGTCCGTTGATAAACTAATCATCTCATAATAGTAATTAACCTCCCAGTCTTCGTGCCTGTGAACAGATTGTACTAAACCCTTGGAATTTCTTCGACTTTCCCATGGATGTAGACAACGGTTTCAGCACCATTGGACATAAGCTTTCTGCTTCACCGAAGTAAGCGCATCTTCGGCCTCATCAAGGTGACCCACATAGTCCCAGAACATACAACCCTTCCGTAACAGTTCATAAACGAGTATTTACCCAGAGTTACGCATAGTTGCTAGTCCCTGTGCGTCTTTCATGTCTTGACACGTCTACCCAGTCAATATGTTTTAATGGAAGGGCAGAGAACTCACGAGCCATGGATACTAGTCCTGCGACCTATATGATTCCGTGAGGCTTTATAGGTATTGTCGCCTCTTCTAACATGGATCCGCGAACGTTATCAAAGATTTTGGGTATACCTCATTGTCACAACGTCTATGCTGCAGTAATAGGATGCACCATTGGAGGGGAACAAAACCCGTCACCTTCGAGGATGAGTTCCCTGTGTTGGAGCAACAACACGACTATGTAACCTTTCACATAATCTTCCGGATTTCAGCAATGTCTTCCACGAGGCGTTGCAGAATCTTCGACAAGATGTTCAAAATGAGTTCATTAACGACCACAGTGCTGCAATCGTCAGCATCATCCAGGAGGCAAGGAATCTGGGAGCAATCGAAATGACTACGATGCCCGTGATACATTACACCAACAAGGAGGAGTGGCAAACTTCCAGGATCAAGCGGTTATAGCTATTCTTAAAGAAGTTCGTATCTTCATCATCTTTAAGGGAACACCTATTTGATCGATTATCACAACAGAGAGTTTTGAAAGGACATCCCGGGATAAGGATGTTGAAATTCTAAATGCAATCGTACAATCGATCTGCCGCGAGAGAAAAAAAGGATTTACTGTGTCGGTTCGTTCTGCCATGTCATACAAGTCACTCGCTTTAGGACGATTGCAAGATACAGCGAAAGATTCCTCGTTTTGCCTCATATATAAGAGTAATTACAAGTCACCGTGGGTGTCGACTGGCCAATACGGTAATAATAACTAAAATCCAAAGAATCAGTTGCAAATTTCAGATAATACACCAAGAGAAACATCGAGAGATCCTCTATGAATCGCGGCTATGAGTGACCGACGCGTAAGGACGCGTCATGTTGGTGTTGCGTTTCGTGGCTCCATCGTTCCAAAGCCACCAAGAACACGCCGTTCCCGTGATCCACATATAAAAAGAGGCCTAATTGTTCATTCACCCTTCATCCTCATCAACCATCACTGCTTCATCCTTTTGGAATTTATCACAAGACCTTCTACGCAGTCTTCATGAACTTCAACCCACTCGAGGCCTCATTTATCCAGCCTAGAATAGACATCGAACCGATGCCACCTGCACCTCGAATGAGGCCAGTTGAGCTGCCCGACGACGACGACGGTATGACTGGTATATCCCGGTATGTGATGAACGTCACAATAACTATTCACACTATTTATGCTGTAGTAGCAGAATGCACCCGCTGAGGAGGGCAATACACTTATCCTGTTCGAAGATCAGATAGCAGGTGACGGCTTCGTTACTGCACCTCTGGCATTGGCGCCCGAGAACTATGACCTCCCCGGCAGAATCCAGGTGCTCCTGGAACAAATCAACAACGCAAACGAGACACTGTGAAACCATCGCCAAGTCGTGCAAGACGGCTTCATAAACAATCTCGATGGTGTAGCCGTTGACGTCTTCCAGGAGGCGAGGGACATGCTAGCAACTGTACTTATCGATATCATCGGTACGGCATTAGCTCTCCGTGGAGGCGACGCAACATACCCCATTCAAGTCATACTGGCAATTCTAATGGAGGTATGCCTCTTCATTATCTATAACAAACACCTACCAACCGTCCACCACAACAGAGATTTTTGGACGGCCATGCTGAGGATGGCGACGTCGAAATTCTGAATGCCATCGTCGTCAATATCAATCCGTAGTCATTAATAATAATAATAAAACTGTACCCGGTCGGTTTGTTCTG